GCCTAGGGGTGCAGCATCTCCCATGAGGGCCAGGCAATGACCTTGCACAAGCCTTTCATTGCACAGGTGTCTCTGGCTCCATGGAACTGGCATGGGGCTCTGCTCCCCATCTGCTTGCTGCCCTGTTGCTCAGAAACGAGTCAAGGATGAGTGAAAGGCAGGCAATTTGCAGAGGGGCTGTGTCTGCAGTGGTTGGACGGTTCATGGCACTCTCTTAGCAGAGCCTCATTCCACCTCTGCCCTTCCAGCCCCTGCTGCTGCAGTGGCACAAGTACAGGTCTCCCTGGACAGCTAGAAAAGTGCTTGCTCAGAGGAAACAATCAGGCAGGAGGATGTGAAACTCGGCTGGGGACCAGCTGGGGGGTTCTGCATCCCCTAAGGCTCTTTCCTAACTCTGCAGCTTCCTCTGGGAGGCTGTCACAGAGAGTCACCCACGCTGTGCTGTGCTGGCAGGCAGTGCCCACAGCAGCCAGAGGGCTCAGCAGTGCAGGATCCTATGCCCTGCTCCCCCCGCCAGAGGTAAGAGGTGCTGCCGGGTCCTTCTCTTTGGGGTGGGCTGCACGGACACTCGGGATCCAGCAGCATGGCACAGTGCTGGGCTGTGTGAGAGGAGGAAGAGGAGGAGACAGAGGCACTGCCAGGCTGCACACATGTCATAGGGGAGGGATGCATGCCTGTGCTTGCTGGGGGAAGAGCCAGTCCCCTGGGCCAGGCACTGTCCTGGGAGAGCCCCAGCTGATGGGGGGCTTGATCCTGATGGGCAGAGCCAGGAAAGTCAGGCTGCTGCTCCTGGAGGAGGGGTAAAATCAGCTCCAGCCTCAGTGCAGCATGGAGCAAGGGTCTGCAGCAGCACATACATTTGCAGAGGGGTTGGGACACTCGACCGGGAGAGCTTGAGTGGGCCATGGGTACCACAAGACTCCATCCAGACGGAAAGTCCAACCCCCCTTGTGCCATCAGGGGCTGCCCTGGGGGTGGTGATGAGCCCAGGGTCCGTCTCCACATATCTGTCTCCCCACTGCCTGGCAATTGGTATGGGGGGGACACTGAGGGCACAGCCATTGCAGCCAGGTATTCCTGGTGCAGTCAGCCTCATAGCACAATATCTGCTTTGCCCCACATCCTGGAAGCCACCCTGCCGTAGCCCCTCACTCCAGCATTTTCTTTCCCTTTCCATGCTTCAGAGCACCAAAATGGGGCAGAGCTTCTGGGACATGCTCCGTCTGGTCTTCACCCTCCTACTCCTGAATCTGGGGTCTTCTGTGACTGGAGATGCCCCTCACAGTTGCTATGGGGCTCCAGGCCTGCCTGGTTTGCCAGGTGCGCCAGGCAAGGATGGCCGGGATGGGCTGAAGGGAGCCAAAGGCGAGCCAGGTGAGTGAGCAAGGAGGGGAACCATGTAGGCAGTTGAAGGGGGGCCTCTGTGGCCCATCTGCCTTGGTTTGCAGGCCATGGAGAGCATCCTCTGTTGTCAGGGAAGGAGGAGAGGAGACTGAAGAGAGGCAACAACCCTATCCTGTCTGAGGGAAGGGGCTGGAGGAGCCTTTCCCCACATCCTGCCATTGACGCTGACTCCCTTTCATTCCCCACCACCCCACAGGCATCCCAGCCACTCCTGCAACACGAGGGCCCAAGGGCATGAAAGGGGAACCAGGCAGCCCTGGCTTGCCAGGCAAGACTGGCCCCATCGGTCCCCCTGGTCCCCCTGGAGACCCTGGGACCATGGGCATAGCCGGAGAGCCGGGTATGCCAGGCAGCTACAAGCAGAAGCACCAGTCAGCATTTTCAGTGACAAGGCAGACCAGTGAGCACCCTCTGAAGAACGTCCCTGTGGTGTTCAACCACGTCATCACCAACACCAACCATGACTACAACATCACCACAGGCAAGTTCACCTGCAAGCTCCCCGGCCTCTACTACTTCGTCTTCCACACCTCCCAGACAGCCAACCTCTGCGTCATCCTGTACAAGAACGAAAATAAGATAGTCAGCTTCTGCGACCACAAGACCAATACCATGCAGGTCAGCTCTGGTGGAATCCTCCTCCATCTGCATGCTGGGAACCAGGTCTGGCTGGCAGTGAATGACTACAATGGCATGGTGGGTATCAGCAACTCCGACAGCGTCTTTTCGGGGTTCCTGCTCTTCCCAGACTAGAGGACCACCCAAGCCCACTCCAGCATGCCAGCCTCTTTGCCCTGCCCTGTAAACTTGCTGCTCACCACCAGGCTGTTGCTGATGCCTCAGGTTTCTCTGCTGGGTAGGAAGCCCCAGCAAGGGGGTCAGCCCCAGGCGCCAGACACAACCCCCTGGTCTGGGGACCAAGCGCAGGCAGCTGCTGAATGGGGGGAATAGGCATATCTGGATGCGCTTGCATCCAGAGTGATAGTGCCAAGCCCCCGGGGTCCTGCTGTCACCACCATGTACATCCACCCTGATAACTCCACATTACCTTCTGCTGCCAAAGCCAGAGGTCTCTCTGCATCTCTCCCCTTGCTACCTGGGTTGCACCAGGGACAGCCAGGTGTCCTGGAGCCGGCTTGCAGCAGCACCTTTGCCATAACCCAGATGTAGAAAGTGGCAATAAAACCTTCTCCAGTGTGCCTGGCCTAGTGTGTTTTTTCCTACGTGACTTGCCTTTCTGCAGGTGGGGCCCACATGTGACTAGATGGATGTGGTGTGCACGCGTGTGTGTGTGTGTGCACGACATCTGCGTGGCATCAGAACATCCCCGAACCCTTGCTGGTTTGGCCATGCTCCGCATCAGTGGGCATCACACACCATTCACAACCCTGGCTTTGCTCCGTGGGGTAGGACCACCAGCTGCACTGTCTGCAGGAAGGGGTGCCCATGCACACAGCCCCCACCTGGGGGGGGACCAAGACTCCTCCAAGCAGGGGCCCTAATACTCCCCTTCCTCTCCACGTGGATGCAATTCAGTTGCAGAGGGCCACAGACCATGCAGCAAACCTCCTTACCATTGCTCCAGTGTCTGGGACAAACCCTGACCAGGGACAGGGCAGGAGCTCACGGCTGTGGAGGCTACAGAGCCCACCAAAACCCAATGGAGATTCCTTTTTTCATACATTGTACAGTCGAAAGGGAGGTCATGTCCCCTGAACGTCCTGTGCTTCACCGCCGCAAGGCATCAGCAGAAAGCAGGACTGGAAATGCTTTTACCATAGGGTGAAATCACTTCCCATCCGCAACATTTAGGAGGGTCTGGGGGACAGATTCAAGATGATGGATGCTGAGATCCTGTAGCATCCTCTGGGCCTGCTGATACCTCCCAGCAGAGCTGGGTATGTGCGAAGAAGCCTGAGGGATGCTAGCTAAGTGCATGCACATTTCTGCAGTCCTGAGGGGTCACCCCAAATTTGTCTGGAGCTCATGGCAGTGTTCCCCATAGCAAGCACACCTGAGCAGGACCAGGGACCCTGCAGGGCAGAGCAGACATCCCTCTGCTCCCCGGGGCCAGAGACGTATGCCTGAGGGGCCTCAGGGCTGTTTGGGAATGGCATGTTCTGCTGAGCTGACAGACAGCATTTGTGGAGGATATGAAAGTGCCACTGAAGAAAGGGTGGGAGCTAAAGATAAAAAAGGGATGTGGCCCAGATCCTTTCACAATAAACTTGCAGCAAACTTCTGCTTCTCCTCACGGTCATTTCCAAGCAGGACACTCATGTGTCCTGCTTCGTCTCCCCATCTGTGCATGGAGAAGCTCAAGGTAAGAGCAAGGCATGGGCAAGGCTGAGCCCCAGCTTCCTCCTGCAGGTAGGAACATGCAGGGAACCCGGGAGCACCAGGGTGACAGTCACCCCCTGCATCTCTGGCACTTCACTGTGGCTTGGGGCAAAAAAGAAAGGGGGCTGCTGGGCTGGGGGTGGTGGAGATCCCTGAAGGGATCCTGATCACTCCTGCTCCATCTGAGGGTGGGGGAAGGGGGAGATGAAAGGGGAGATGGCAAAGGCCCAGAGGGGTGATCAGGGACTGAGCATCAGTCTGGCTGGTGCCCTGGGGGTGCTCTCCTGCCCTGAGATGCTCTTGTTGTCTGGTTGGACCTAGGCTGGGAGCCTGTGGACTGGTCCTTATACCTGCCGCATCCGAATCAGAGCTGCTGTGGCTGGGGGGGCCAACACACACAC